CCCCAGTCCCACCTTGGCCAAGCAGAAACATCATCTGAGGCCAGAGTCTTGTCCTTCAGCCTCTGGAGGCTTCTGGACCCACCATGGTGGTGGTGACATCTGTATTTTTCAGAGCCACACTGTGCTGTGGGCTGCAGTGCCCATCTCATCCAACCCTCACAACTACCTCTTGTCCCTATTTCACAGATGAAGACACTGAGCATAGAAGGTGTGACTCACAGAGGGTCCCACAGCATGTCACTGACGCAGCCAGGATCAGACTCATGCAGAGGCAAAAGAGAAAAAAGGTATCTACAGAGGTGAGGCCTTGGCCACACCCCAACCACACTGACAGCACAGAGTCACAGCCTGGGGGGCCCCAGACCAGGGCCCAGGCTGGACAGGCCACCAGTATCAGGGCCCTGGCCCACTGAGCACCATGCTGACCTGCAGAGTCAGAGGTGGCCAGGTGTGGGAAAAGCCCAAACCCTGCAGCTGGCCTGCACAAAGTGTGTGATGCCGAATCTTGCCCCTTTGGAGGTGAAATCCAGGCTCCAGTGTGGGGAGCCATTTCCAGGGCAGTGCCTCAAAAGTATGAAAGCAGAAGAGCACCGTGTCTACCCCTCACCTGGGAGCCCATATGGTGGGCAGGCAGGGCAAGGCTGGGGGACAAGTGTTGGCCTCTCTGGCCATCTGCTAACTGACACCTTCACCTGCCACGCCAGGCCATGACCCGCCTCCTCTGACACATCCAAGCTGAGCCTCCCTGCTCCCGGAGACACTTTGCAACAGACCCACTACCTTCTGTTTCTTGGACTTCAATCTAGAGCCCAGGGGACCTACCCATCCAGGCCTGGCACCAAAACAAAGGACCAAACTGTGAACAATGCTGAACCATGTGAAATGGATGATAGGACCCCATGAGGGCTGACAGCCAGTCCAGCAGCTTGACACAAACCTGGACTCAGCGCCATTTGGTCAGCAGAGTTAGTGTTAGATGCAGCCAAAGACCTGGAGGCCAGTTCTC